GATCAGGTGCTCACGTTCAAGGAACGTCTCAACAGCGTCTTCCCGGACATCCTATTTACATCCTTCAAACTGTTGCATGTTCTCTTCGTTATAATCATCATGCAGCGACAAGATGTAGCTGAGAAGCTGTCACGAAATTTATTGATGCCAATAAATCCTGCCGTATACGCCTGTTGTTAATTTTGTAAAACTGACTGGCAGTGACTTGTTTGAATACACTCCTCCTCCTCCTCCTCCTGGCTGACTGACACCTCTTACTCCCTCTTGGACGTTTGGGACAACGACTGGGCTAGCTCAGAGGTCGCGCTAATTCCAAGTACCAGGCACGGCTCATAACAGGCCCTTCGATTATTATTATTATTGACATAAATTCTGCAGTTATAAGCAGCATATGTTGTGCGCGTCAGGCACTGTTCTGCTTATCCGTTGTAGTAAGTCATAAATTACGTGCTTCTTATGTAGATGTTTACCATGATGACAACACTAGCAAAAAGCCCAGACACGTGTCTCGCCGACATTTTCTTGCTACACGACACAGCTGCGTGGGGTTCGGCTCATAAGTGAGTCCAACAACTGAACCACATACAGCTGTGTCGTGCATCGTGGATAAGCTACAGACCTGGGTTTTAAGCTAGCACCTGTATTACCAGTGTAGTAAATAATTGTCGGGAATGCCTCCATTCGCACAAAGAGTAATTGCACAGAAAGGCCCCCGAGCGCAGCTGCCACGCTGCTGCTATAAGACCGCGCATCGGGGCTATTTATCTCTCATCAGAACTGATTAGTCCATATTGCTTTTGCTCTTCCAAAAAGCGGATCAATAAATATATGCAACCTTTCTGTGCGAATGACTTGCTAAATGTTAATACAGCGTTCTGCATGGTCGATTGCCTTCTCCACATTTACCGTGCTGGCTTTGGTAATAACAAGCTCATAGTTGGTTTAAGTACAAGTACCAGGTGTGGATCATAACAATGAGCGTATCAATTATATGAATGGCTGCCTGTTAGTAGCTTATGACGATTACGCGGTCGGTGGTTGATAGGCTTCGGTCGAATATTATATTTCGGTCTGCGCTTGTAAACCCCTGAATATCTAGGGAAATTTAAAAGCTACAATTTAAATGTCTTCCGACTCACCTTCTAAAGCCGCTTCACTGTCGACCTCCGTGGAAGTCTTCTGAGAAGCTGGCAGTCCATTCGTCTTAGCAGCAGATCCGTCTTCCTCGAGGTGGCCAACTTTGGTGGGCTCGTCCGAGCCCCTTGTGTCAACCGCGTTGGGGCTGTCTGCGGCGTTTTCATTTTGTTGTGGGGACGTCGGATCAGAAGTCGCCTCTTCTGAAGTGCCTGGGGAATTCTTTGTCGAACTGGAGCACCCAGCTGACTGGCCACCTTCACTGCCCGACTCCGCCCCGTCG